ACTTTACTTCATTCGTGTCAATAAACTAGAAGCATTCATGTTGTGTAGAATTCGCTTTAGTTGATGATCAGGTACATGTCTCTTTTCATACACTGCATGATGTAATTAATTTTTCTAAGATTTGTTTTTCTTAGACGAAGAAAAACAAGAAAATTTACATGAATACTTTCATTGTTACTTATTCCAATGGCATGAATTCAGCTAAAATCAAAATGGAACAGAGATCGATTTGAAAAACTTCAAATAGAATCAATCCGTTCGTCTTACGATCAAGATCGTGCTCATCTCAAATAAGATGTGCGTGTCATGGACTTAATTTTTACATATGAAATATTTTCATCGTTTTCTATGAAGTATTCTTTAAAGAACAAGATTTCTCCAAATATTTAACTTCATTCCTCTCTATCGTTGATACGATTGATACAAAAAAGTCTAGAATAAGATGAATAGGTAAAATTTCTTTCTTGTTGAAATATAAAGTAGTAAAAATACACGTGCAAACATAATTATCAAGAATTTTATTTTATGATCACTGCAAATTGAACAATATGCGCACAGGATGAGACTAAACAATATTATTTTTTGTTGGATGATGTTCAATTGGTTATTATTTTGCAAATATCTATATTTGTTCTTTCTTCTTGAATTCCTCCAATGTTTCAATAGAATTTTTTGTTTCGTTAGATGACGACGCAGCAGTACAGAGAGATGTTTCACTTGCTGCAGAAGTTAATACAATTTCGCGTGATTTAATAAGTTTATTTTCATAGCGTAATAATTGTATCATGAAGCCTTCATTGGGCCATATTTGAGGACGTTTTTCAACGAGATAATGAAAAGCTTCCGTAAGCGTATTATGATGATACTAAAACAGAATTTCAATAATATGTTCTTTATAGACTCTGAAGATACGTTACTTTCATTAAATACGCTAAGACAACCGTCGTTGATCTTGAAATACCTTAAATAGAGATAAAATTAGGGTGTTTTTTTTTCCAAGAAAATGAGAGCAGCAAGTTGAAGTATTTAACGTATTTTACAAATTCTGTACAAAGGAATCAAAATAATTTTTAACTTACCAGCAACACAATGAACGAGACAACGTTCATTTTCCATGTAATAACTATGTAATAGTTCATTGGTACGATTAAAATGCTACAGAAAAATAAAAGAAATAAAAAGTAAATTCATACTTTATTCCACATACTTGTTTAATATTTGTTCGAACATCATTATCTATTGGAATGTAAATGATATCAAAACGATTTTGAGGAAAATTGTCACTAACATCCGTTTCACTTACATTAATGATATGTTGTGAGAAAAGAAAAAAAGAAATTATATATCTTTCAATGTGAAAATTCTTTTCCTTCACATACATCTGTCTATTAAATAAAAAACTCAGTTCACTAAGACGAATTGTATTCAAGTAAGTTTCCCTTAGAATGCAATATTTATCTATAAGCCAGTTTCCAGAAAAATGTAAGAACCGCTTGTTCTCATGTATATTTAGTTGAAGAGTTTTCTGATATCAGCACTAAATATGGTTATATTACGTATCAATTCAAAATTCATTTGAGTATCATTGAAATACCTTCTAGCTACATGTTGTGCCATGATAGGGAGGGATCATCATAAATTTCGAAAAAAAAAACAGTTTCAAAGTGAAAGTTATGCTCATGACTTTGATATGTAGATACTTGGGACGTCAATTCTATATATTTTTATCTCGAAAAGTATCTTGTTTTCAGAAAGAAATTATTTCGAGGATAGCATTCACAGAAAAAAACAGTTCATCTCCAAGTTTAGAAAAGTATAGGTCTATTGGCATGTTGCTTTACCGATTTTAAATCGTTCGAGTAAATCTAAATTGGATCCATGATGTATGTTCCCTAAGAAGAGAAATTCATCCAATAACTACGCTTGGTTCATGTCCAGATCCGAATTGAAGAAATTGTTCAAAAGCGATTCCCCGTCGTTCATATTCTTGGAGTTCCTTTATCCAACAGAATTCCTCGTATGTTGGTAACCAAGCTGCAACTAAATATATCATCATCAACTAATGGTGAACATGTAAATTTTGAATTTATCATTGTTTAATAAAGAATCTGAAATTGACAGATCGACGAAAAAAAATTTCTTGTGAAACATAACGAAATAGGTTTCTAATTTATTTTGTTTTCAACTTTAATTTACTTACTACTGATGCAATCATGTGAAATGTTTTTAAAATGTTTGGGGTTTCATTAATGTGTAATGGGTCTTCTGTTTTATCTCTTGATTAGCGATGGAAAGCATCGATTACGATATTCTATCAAGGTTGAATTTAACGTGAATCGTTTTGAATATACTGTTTGTTTTTTTCGGTCACCTTTATAATGATGAAAAACTACTTACTCATTCAACGTTTTTTTTTCTTACGAAGTAACTTCCAATGATTCAAATTTATTTTTGTAATACTCTGTTAGAGGATATGGCTTGACTAAAAAAAAGTGTTCTTTTTCCTATCGCAAATATGTTTTAAATTTTTCATTTCTCTTTAGAATTTAACTGACGATAGAAACGCTTATTGTTACTTGAAAAAGTAAAGGATTGAAAAAAATACTTTTCACACATGGCATGTCGATTAATTTTTGCGTAATTCAAACGATGGTGGCTCATTATAGAGAACAGTGAGATGAAATAAATTTTCTCGACGTGAAAATCGAACATGTATGTTATTTGTCTCTTCGTGATGACTCTAACAATTGAACATCAGAAAATATTGAGATTAAATCAATACCGCTTATTTTTCAATCGTTAGTAGAACGTTTCGTTAGTTTACTGAGAATCCAGCACAATGGCTAATTTTTGTGAACTCTTTTTTCAACATTATAGATAATTAAAACAAAGACACAGATTGACAGCACCAGTCTTTGCACAAGTGATGTTATAAATATGACAGTTATCCATCCAAACGGATAATAGATAACCAATCCAAATAAAAATCAAGCAATAAGTGAAGAAGGTGGCTTAGACTATCCGGCTCTAGCTAGTATATTAGCAATGAGTCCATAGTAATCATCAAAAAGGCAATCATAAGAATCCTAATTATTTTTTGAGTGTAAGTATGAACCTTCCATTCACAACCATAACTTCCCATACCCTTCTTTCTCTTTTTAACATCGTTATTTAAATAAAAAGACCTTGACACCCAAAATGAACATCTCATGAATGCTTGTTAGAAATTTCATTTCGATACTAAATGCTATGATTATAAAGTCGAAAAAATTAACTATGACAATAAAGAATGTCTCATAGTAACTAAACCTATAGTATTGTTCGTTGCAGCAGTCTGATATTTTGAGTAGATGCGAACCGACAAAATATTGTTGCAAAAGTCGAATAAACCCGCGCACTTTAGTAAAGATAATACAAATGTGCTTAACTAAAATCTTTACCAACATTATATCATTTATACGGTTTTTATTAAATTATTAAAAATATTACATGAATATTTTTGAAATGTCAATAAAGAAAAATTCAGTACATTAATAAGGGCTAAATCTTGGTGAAGTATGAGTATAACGGTACGAAGGATATCCCATGGGATACTGCAGATATCGATTAAATTTATTATAATATTTTGGATAATTATTGGCGACACCATTGAGCAAAGGATCGAACCAACCATCCTCATAAGCATTGTATAACATGACGCCAACCCTATAGTATGTAAAAATACCCATAGCACCTTGAAAACAAATAGTTCAAAACAAGAAAAATTATGGTAGTAGGAATCTAAATATATATGATTATAAAGTCAACTTGCTTGTAACGAAATATAAATCGATATGCGTAAAAGAATATAATTTCTTCTTTTTGCGTACCCTAACCAAATCAACAAGCAAATGTAAGTGAATATAGGTATCTACGAAAAAAAAAATTAACGACTCTTTCCAATAGTCACATGCATGATCACCCGATAATTACATGTTATGACGTAGTATACTATAAAAAGAATAGTACAATATTGATAGCATATTGCCTATGAATGTATGCTGATAGCATGAATCATGCGATAATTATCATTTGTTTACGATTGTGCTCAAGTATTGCGATTATAACAACTCCAAATTAATCGTCCAGTTTTGATGAATTATTTAATACTATTACAAAAACATTTGCATATAGATAAATTTAATATTTAACAATTATTATTTGGTCAATATTAGAATGTTATGAATTTCATTCCTCTCTTCATCACTAATTGATTGATGCTCGTTGCTATGAAACATCAAATCAAGAAACACATGCTATGGCTCTTTTTTTAATAGCATGAATTATTTTTTTGCGTGATTTTGCTTCAATCAACAATCCGTCTAAGTATGCGATCTGTTTACCACGAGGATGCTACCTTTGAGTTTAGTAAAAACCTGAACGATTGGATAAAATTTGCACCAAAAATCAAGTTTATTTTTCTAATTCTACAACTGTAAGGCGCAGCATTTGACAACAAACTATTTTCGAGATTTGAACCAAAATAAATTATAGATGGCGGTAGTTTTATAAATAACTCTAGAGTAATTTAGTGTCAAATATCGATTCAAGTGTAATCAAAATCAGAAATTCAACTTAATTTTCTGTGCAAGTTTCATCCAATCATTTTCAGTTTCAATACACCCGAAAATTCGTCGTTCTTCACATCATATCATAGGCTTTATATATGGATGGTCAGTCAGAGCCAGAGGGTCTAACTTTTTTTTTCATTTAACTTCTATACTACATCAGAAGAATAATTTTTTTACCAGTTATAGTACTTATCTAGTGCTAGGGACTTCTCATTATCCGGGTTATATATCTTTTAAAAAACCAAAATAATCAAGAATTTTTCGTAAAACCGTTCCTGAAACGTTTCTTTAATCAAAATTTTTGTAAATCGTACTTAGTATTTGAAACCGCAAGAAATATCACTAATGTAGTTTTATCCAAATAATCGATCAGAAACTACAAATGACATATCATGATCTATGATTACGAATAGGATGTTTACACAATTTAAGGTTACATAGTGCAGAAACAATATGTCCAATTGTAGAAATTTTGTCAACATCATCATTAGGTCCTCTATAAGCATTTCCTAAAATAGCAAATTTTTTAAGACAGTGATTAATGTTTTCAATAGCTGCTCTTGCGTTGCAAATAGATTGATCGAAATCTTTACCTTCAGCTGTTAATCCACCATCACAAGATGTTTTTTTTTTAGTAATAACATGTTGTTCACCAATGTATCCTTTATCAGCAATAATTTGCACATCTTCTTCTATATGTTCTAATAAACCTGATTCTCTTAGAATCGTAATATTATATGTACACTACGTGGAAAACATCTCGATACATGTACTATTCGACGATGAAAGACACAAGCTGTTTGGAATTTGAATGCATAATTTGTTGGACTTTTGCATGATAATAGGTTTTACATTGTTCCGCATCTTCAGGCTGATGAATTGCAAAAAAGTCAAAACAACCATTAACTTGTGATGTTGTTCAGTTCCATGAATTGTAGTTTCATCATCTATATTGTCAGGTAATAAAACAAATTTCGGGCAAATACAGGAATATAAAATATCTATCATCACTGATAAAAACTAAATCACTGGTGATCGACCGAAATTTAATTTTGTTACTATATGTCGTTCAGAATGGTAATGATTCAAATACCAGAATGTGATAGAAAGTAAATTTATAGGAGACAGATATGGAATATGTGTAACGGTTGTTTGTTGTTTTCTATTCGTACAATATTCTACCAACGCTTGTCCACTAAAACTATATAACTGTAGTACTTGTTCAAAATCATGTCCTGTATTCTGTATACAGGAATCATTACTAAGACTCCATGCAGATCATGGACGCTGCTCTAAAAACTGAAATTTACATGCAAACTAAATGATGAGTTTTGTTTACCATCATACAACATTTGAATTTCCTGCATACGTTCATTTTTTCTTTTTTTTTACTGTTTCACACTGTTTTTCATTGTATAAATATAGAAGTCTTCGAATCGTCATTCGACAACCTCTTATGAAATATAACCGATTGATTACTGTCTTGTAACAAAATTAATAACATTTTTATTCAGATTGCTTTCATCATCGTATGCAATAACAAGTTACTTAACTAAATCAATATGTTTATTTATTTTTATTTTGATGTATATCAATGAAAAAGTCAATAGTCAGTATTTTATTCAAATAAATAAATTTATTTTTTTTATTTAGGATTTAAATCAATAAGATATTGGGTGTGTTGTTGGCTCAAGAAAAGAGGATACATACACTCATCAAAAGTTCATGTCTAGTGACGTACCGATACCCACACCATTCCTCAAGTGATGGTTCAATTCTAAAATAGCTCTCTTAAAACCGCGAACATCCCAAAAATCCATAAAAAGAATAAAATTAATCGAAGCCTAAATGACATATAACATCGTGCTAGTTTCCTGCGACACATCCAGTTGTAACATCGAGCGCACAAAGTGACGTATTCAATTGCTGGCTCTTGCGAAACATTTCTTGCGACACATTACATTTCAGTGTGATACTAACCGACCGATAATAATCTTTTACTCGTTCTGTCACATGGCAAGAGGAGGAGAACGCATCCACTCTCTGAAACCAGCAAGTAATTGCAAAACACTGATGAAAAACGCTTACACATGACTCACGAGCCAGTATATATATATATATATATGTACAGGGTGAGCAAAAATATTATTCCATG